CCGCCCTTGAAGCGCGGGTTCCTCTGCAGGAAGAGCTGGTGCAGGCGGTTCATCTCCGAGGCCACCGTGTCCACGATGGTCTGGCAATAGGTGGAGCTGTTGTAGAAGAACACGTCCAGGATGGTGTCGTTGATGAAGTGACGCAGGCGGTTGATGCTGGGCAGCGTGATCCGCTCCAGGTCGCTGCGGGGAGAGGACAGAGGGGCTGCACGTGGGGAAACCACTGAGCCCCACCCTGCTTCTACAGCAAAACAGGAGTTCTGATGAGGATTGGCACAGTTTTCAACGGGGTGTGTTGTAATCCAGACCCTCAGAAGGCAAAGCACAGCCTGTGCTATTACACTCCCAGAATAAAGAGCCTGCCCTGCTCTCTGCCCTTGCTGGGGCACTCAGCTCTCAGAGGCTTCAGCAATGTGCAGCACGATGGCAAGGTTCAAATTTTCAATTTGAGATCACTGTAAGCTTCATTTTTGTTTGATGTAAGTAGTCAAATGAAATAAGAAGGCTAAAAACAATCTCCAAGTACATGAAGAATTCTGTAGGTTACACAAATCTCATACTGAAGCCTACAAGAGAATTTTCTCATCTAACACCTTAATACTCAATATTGATTTAGTATGTGATAGCTCTGGAGATGAAGAAAAGAAAAAAATATGCTTATTTCGAGGAAATAACACAAATAAACTATTTGCAATGATGAATGGAAACAAAACCAAAAATAAAACAACAAAAGAGAAAAAGAAAAAGTCGTTAGGGAACCAGAGAGTACTGCTGGTTGCCATACTTGATTATATCTCCACTCCCTCCACAGAGCAGCCAGGGAAGGCAAAAACTTCTGTTCTGAGGATGTGATGGGAGCTGCAGAATGGCAGTGGGGAGGGCTCTGGGGGTCCCTGCTCTCTCCTACCCTAAAATCTCCCAGCTTTTCCACCAGAAGAAGTGGATTTTCCAGGGCAGGAGGCTGCAGGATACTCACACATCCACGCCAGTGGAGTGCAGGGAGCTGTGCCAGTTCACAGGCAGGAACTCCACCCTGCCCACCTGCTGCTGCTCCTGGGCCTTCCTGAAGTGGGACTGCAGCATGCTGAGGGACACGTTCCTGAAATCATTCACTGTGAAACACAACAGCTCTCAGCGAGATGCACAGGCTCTGGGGCCAGCCCGTGCCACCAACCACGCTTAATACCATGAAAGATCATTAAGGGGAAATCCCAGTGGGGTCTTTAAGCTGCTGCTGCTCCCCTAAGTCCCTGAATCTTTAACTACAGATCAGGGGAGGCTCCGTGCCCTGCCACGTGTGCTTGCTGGATTTCGCTGCCCCATCTGCACCTCCTTCACAGGGGCAGGATAAGAAACTTATAGAAATTTATGAAAAATAAATCTGCTTCTGTTCTGAAGCAAAACCAAGGAGCAGCAGCTGCCTAAACCCTTTCAGGAGGTGGATTTGGTGGTCAGGGAGTGTTCTGCTCACAATGCCCACAGTCAGCCTGCCAGGGTCAGGGTGGTTTGAGGCAGCATGGCAGCCCCAGGGTGAGGTTCCCCTTCCAGGTTCCTCTCCCAGGTTCCCCTGCCATGTTCTCCTATAGGTTCCCCTGCCAGGTTCCCCTCCCAGATTTCTCTCCCAAGTTCTCCTCCAGGTTTTCCCCCAGGTTCTCCTCTCAGGTCCCCCTCCCAGGTTTCTCTCCCAGGTCCCTTTCCCAGGTTCCCCTCCCAAGTTTTCCTTCCAGATGCCCCTTCCAGTTTGCCCTCCCAGGTTCTTCTCTCAGGCTCCCCTGACAGGTTCCTCTCCCAGGCTGCTCTCCCAGTTTTCCCTCCCAGTTTTCCCTCCCAGGTTGCTATCCTAGGTTGCCCTCCCATTTTCCCTTCCCAGGTTCCTCTCCCAGGTTCCCTCCCAGCTTCCCTGCCAGGTTGCCATCCCACGTTCCCCTGCCAGGTTGCCATCCCACGTTCCCCTGCCAGGTTCCTCTCCCAGGTTCTCCTCCAAGTTTTCCCCCCAGGTTCCCCAGCAGGTTCCTCTCCCAGGTTCCCCTCCCAAGTTTCCCCCCAAGTTCTCCTTTCAGATTCCCCTTCCAGTTTGCCCTCCCAGGTTCCCTTTCCAGGTTGCCATCCCAGATTCCTCTCCCATATTCCTCTCCCACGTTCCCTTGACAGATTCCCCTCCCAGGTTCCTTCCCCCATGTTCCCCTCCCAAATTCCCCTCCCAGATTTCCCCCCATCTCAGCCCTACCGCACTGCACGATGCTGCGGAATCGGATGTCGCAGGCGGGGCCGATGCCGTGCACCACGAACACCAGGTGATCGATCTGCAGCGGCTCTCCTGGGGAGGGGAGGGCAGCTCAGGGCATGGCAGCTGAGCAGAACTGCTGGAGACAGCCCTGGGCAGGGCTGGGGCCTCCCACCCTCACCTGGGCCCATGAAAACCCTCCTCAGTGCCTGCATTTACACCTCAAGGCTGCTGGGGCTGCTCAGCTCTGCTGCCCTGGGATGGACCTGGACCAACAGGACAGCAGAGGAAGGGGTGGTGGCTCATCCCCAGTGCCCAGCACAGGGAACTGCAGCATCAGGAGGTGTCAGTGCTGAATTTCAGCATCAGGAGTCCTCAGTGCAGAATTGAGGATCTGGAGGTCTCAGTGCTGAATTTCAGCATCAGGAGGTCTCAGTGCTGAATTTCAGCATCAGGAGGTGTCAGAATTGGAAGATCAGGAGGTGTCAGTGCTGAATTTCAGCATCAGGAGGCCTCAGTGCAGAATTGGAAGATCAGGAGGTCTCAGTGCTGAATTTCAGCATCAAGAGGTCTCAGTGCTGAATTGAGGACCAGGAGGTGTCATTGCTGAATTTCAGCATCAGGAGGGCTCAGAGCTGAAGTGCAGGACGGAGGGCTCAGTGCAGCTGCCCCATGCCCAGCCCACTCTGAGGAGCCCCACGGGAGCTGCATCTCCCAGGTGGGGCCCGGGTGGAGTCAGGGCTTGTTCCCTGCTTCCCACACACCTTAGTTTGCATATGAGGGCAGGCACCCATGGAAAATGGAGCAACTGCCTGGTGTCCTCATGGGGACAAGGGCTGAGCACCACTGGCAGCTCAGGGCAGCTGGGAGGGGACAGAGCTGGGGACAGCACGTGCCCCAGAGAGTCAGCAGCACGAAGGTGAGTGACAAAGCACTGTGTCCCTAGCAGGGAAAGGAACTCCCCTCCTGTACAAACTGAGACCTCAGGGGTCACCTCAGGCACTGCAGAGCTCCCAGCAGCTCTGGATCTGCAGCTCTGCAGGGGCTGGGGAGGTTTCTGAAACCATTTGGATCCTTTTGGCACAAAATGTTTTGACGTGCACTTGACTTAAAGGATCACGGGAGCTTCCTCCAGTCTTTGTGAGCAGGGTGGAAAACACCACCCGGGGTTGGCACAGACATCTTTTATGAAAAATCTTTTCTTTAAGATTTTTTCTTCTTGAGAAGCTGAGAGGCCTCAGGAACAAAATGTAAACATTGATTATCTATTGTTGTGGAATGCAATAGGTAGATCTGTGATTGGTCTCATAGAGTTATTTCTAATTAATGGCAAATCACAGTCAGCTGGCTTGGACTCTCTGTCCGAGACAGAAGCTTTTGTTATCATTCATTCCTTTTCTATTCTTAGCCAGCCTTCTGATGAAATCCTTTCTTCTATTCATTTAGTATAGTTTAAATATAATAAATATAATATATATAATATATAATATATAATATATAATATATAATATATAATATATAATATATAATATATAATATATAATATATAATATATATTAGAGATTAGATATAATGTATAATATATAATGTGTAATATATAATATATTATATATTACATATTATATATTATTATAATTATATAATAATATAAATAAAATCTATAATATATATAATAAATTAATAAATCAAGCCTTCTGAATCATGGTGTCAGATCCTCTCTCCTCCCTCACTCTGAGACCCCTGTGGACACCCTCACCCAGGGTTTGGGATGGGAACAGGGGCTCACCATTGGGGATCTCCACAGCAATGTTCTCCACTCCTCTCTTCACAGTGCGGGGCCGGCCTTGCTCCGTGGGGGTGGAGACCCAGTCATCAGAGCTGGCCACGGGGTGGTAGTGAACCATCAGCTTGGGAACAAGAAGAGCCTGTCAGTGACCCAGAGCAGGGCAGCGGCAGCAGCTGTGGCTGACACGGGCTGGTACCAGAGCGTGCTCTGCCCACAGAGGTGTTGGAAAGGAATGTGGGGCTGGTGGCAGGCTCAGCTGTTGGCACAGGTGAGTGGAATGCCTTTGGGACAAGCTCATTTGAAGGGAGCAGCACCAAGAGGCCCAAGGGGATGTCCTCACCAGGCCCTGCTCACCTTTGGGTTGTGCAGGATGATGACTTCTCTGTTGGGGGACTCCAGCTTCTTCTTCCACTCACCCAGGGTCACGGCAATCATGTAAGCTTCCTGCAGAAGGGAACACCCACTGTGAGTCAGCTGGAAGCTTGCCCATCAGTGTTCACCCTCCTGGGACACTCCCCACCCAATTTTCAGAACCTCTTATCAATACTCTGCAAAAGAAGCAGAGAAATCAGCTGGAGGAGCAGCAGGGTCATCCCAGGATCACATGCTGAGGATGTTTAAGAGCTCCTCACTTTGACAGCAGCAGCATCAGACCTCCCCCTCCCCTTAGAACTGGTTTTGGTACATCAGAATGGAGATTATTGCCAAGATGGGTATTTTTATATATCTGCCTACATATTTCTGCATTTGCATCATGCCAAAGAAAGCCTGGCACTTTCAAATGGAATTTGCATGATGCCAAAGGAGAGCGTGGCACTTTCAGGTGAGGTGGAATTTGCACCATGCCAAAGGAAAGCCTGGTACTTTCAGGCGTGCTGGAATTTGCACCATCCCAAAGGACAGCCTGGCACTTTCAGGTGGAATTTGCACCATGCCAAAGGAAAGCCTGGTACTTTCAGGTGTGCTGGAATTTGCACCATGCCAAAGGAAGGCCTGGTACTTTCAGGCGTGCTGGAATTTGCACCATCCCAAAGGAAAGCCTGGTACTTTCAGGTGGAATTTGCATGATTCCAAAGGACAGCCTGGCACTTTCAGGTGTGCTGGAATTTGCACGATGCCAAAGGAAAGCCTGGCATTTCCAGGTGTGCTGGAAGGATGCACTGAGGGCAGGGGAAGGGTTGCTCACAGCAGAGCTCACAGTCACATCAATCTGCTGCAGGAATTCCTGCCAAAGCCTCTTTGGAGTTCATGTCCCCAGCGGCCTCATATGGGGTTTGGGACATCAGAGGCACTGTGTGCCCAGGAGAAACCGGGGTGGAAACCAGCAGAGGAAGGGTTTGCTTACCTCCAGCTCCTCACTGAAGGCCTCAGAGTAGGGAATGAACTTGTTGTCCTTGTCCCCCTTGTAGAACCAGGTGCAGCGCCGCACCTCGGCCGCCTCCTCCTCCCAGTACACGGCCACGCGCCGCCGCTCCCGCAGGTGCACGTCGTACCTGCCCCCCGAGGTGGGCACCACCACGCCAGCCTGCTCCTTCCCTGGGGAACAGGGGAACAGTCAACCCTCACATGGCCAGGAATGGCAAACTCACCCTCTTGGACAGCTCAGAGCCACCACAGCACCACCACCAAACTCACTGTCGGGGTGAGATGCCCCAATTCAGATTTCCCTCAGAGGGAAATCTGATGGGGTTTTATGGAGAAGATGGTTTCTCCCTTCTTTTAATGAGGTTAAATATGGTTGGAAATACAAGCATGCCTTGGTGACACCAGGGGGATGATGGCACAGGGGGCACAGCACTCCAGGAGGGTTTTCCTGCTCCAAGGATGCCGAGCAGAGCCAATTCCCATCATTTCTGAGGCTGGATTAGCACTGGAATCCCAGGGAGCAGGCAGGGTTTTAGCAGCAACAGAGCAAACAACATCCAGGACAATGCTCCAGGAGGTAAGAAGAAAACATTCCCCTGCCCTGTCCTTCTCTCCAGTTCGGGCACACGCTTACGTGGCCTCTCTCTGCCTGGCCTGGAGGGTAAAAGTGAAACTGGGAGGCCCTGGGAAGGGCATTGTGTAACAGTGGGGCTGCACCAGGGTCTCCTGTCTCTCTCCAAAACAGAGAACTCTCTACAGACCTCAAATTATGAATTTTGCTGCCTTTTGGGGCTGCCGGTGGACCCTGTGCCAGGCAGCAGCACTGGGGATGAGCAGCACAGCCTCTAATCCGAAACTTCCTGGGCGAGCCAATCCTTGGGCAATCGGAGCTGTGCCCGTGGCAGCAGCAGCAGGTGGCACAGATGGTGACATTTGGCACACAAGGACTTGGGGCTCACCTCCAATCCTCGCTGCCACAGCAGGCACAGAGGAATCCCCAGAGGAATTCCTGCCATCCTGGCAGCGTTCTCCCCGCCTCACCAGAGGATGCTTAGCAGCGTGATTATATATAATTCAGAGCAGCATCACTTGAATGGGGTCAGACCATTTGATGCATCCTCTCGGTTATTGGGAGCGGGCACATGGCCAAAAAAGCCAGAATTTAGAATTCCTCGAGGGGATTTAGCATCGCAGGTGGAAGCCACGGGAAGAATCGCAAACACAAGCTCAGCAGGCCCATTCTTTAGGGTGCTCCAAGAGGGGGATGGCGAACCGG